TGAAAATTCAGGTCAAGTGCCCCAAACAGGTTAGTGTACAAACAAACAAACCACCAAAAACCAGATCTGGGCATCTCTCAGCCCTACACCCTCATATCTCACCTCCTAGCTGTTGCTCTACATGAATTACTGTGGAGCAGCAGAGTTCAAAACCTGTCTCTATACCTTGCAATCACAGCACTGCAGGCACTGTCGTTTGAGATGTGGGTTCAAGTCCTCTGGGACACAGTAGGTCTCCACACCTATCCCTTCTTCCTGGGTCAACGTTCTGGCCACAAGGATAATGCACAAACCTATTCGACCCTCACTGCAGTTTCTGTGACAATGCCTCAGTTTAACCCTCCATTTCCCTCACTTTTGCTAAATAGAGAAAACATGTGTTTCCTTCTTCCACCAAAAGGAAAACTCAGCATTTTTTCCATTGTAGTGAGAATTACTGAAAAATATAAAGCTCAACACGAGGCTTTTTGGCTGTAGGTTCAATTGCTCAGACAAGCACAATTCTCCAGCCTCCCTGCAGACATCTCAAACCCAAGGCAAGGAAAACCCCTTGTGACCTTTTTCAGGTGAGAAAGTGAAAAGTCCCTGAGCTGCCTTGGATGGGGAAAGCCGAAAGCCTGAGCAAGACTTACCTGCAACTTCAAATTAGGAAGCCAACACTGGGAAGAAGGAAAAGAGTTTGCTGTCAAAGAGAAACACCTTCTGCATTGCACAGCCAGCTAAGTACCCACATGGCTTCCAGCTGCAGTCTCCACTGTGATCTCCAGTGCAACTTCAACCATTTCAGCTCAGGCTGAGGAACCACCATCTGTTGGTTTGTTAAAGGCATAGCTGTGATGCGACTAATGAAGATGTCCAACTGCTTCTCCCCCACCTACCTAGGACTCTATGAAAAGCTACCTGGGACCCTAATTTCTGTCCCCTCAGCTTCTGCTTTCTTCTCCCTACTTCGTACTTTGCATTTTGAACATTCCCTCTGCCCACAACATTTTCTGCACCCAAGTGAGCTCCTTTGTAAATTAAAATCCTTCCATTGAAACCCTGCCTGCAACCCTTTGCAAAAAACAGGTTAGCTAATGTGTACTGCTGCCCACTTCACACAGCTCCCTTTGGCAACACCCATAGAATTTTGCAGTGCTAGGAAACACTGGCTCACAGGTGGCTAAACTGTAGAGACCATGGTAAACAAGGGAACAACCAGAGAGAATAAATAACCCCATGTCGGATGGGGGAGGTCTGCCATAACTTTAGCTGCTGTCTTTAACACTCCCTGTTGCTGAGCTTATAGAGGCTACAACCCAACAGCTCCAGCCACCAACTCCACCTGCTTATATGTCACTTGACAATATAGTGCCCTTCAAAACCCAGGCTTAGCAACATGTTGGGGAATTCCTCTGCAAGGTTTCAAAGCTCCTGGGCCCTGACAACATTCACAGAGCAGGGAAAAACACTCCCAGCTGAGCTGGACACTTCTGCCAATAAATTCAGCTGGCTGCTCACAGCAGCACACTCCTGTGGCTTAACTGCTACTTCGCCACTGCCCTACCAACGAGTTTATGGTGGTTTAGCCTCCAGAGCACCAGACGTCTTGATAACAGATTGGCATGATCTGCCCCTGCTTTGCTGACTGCAGCCACCAAATCCCAGGAGGGCTGCATGCCCTGTTGTCACAAAGCAGTAAAAAAACAAGTCTCCTGCCTTCCCATTCAAAATTGGAGTTAATCTGAAACTCAGCTGAATTCCTACTCAATAAAAATGAAACCCAGAGAGGGGAAAAAGCATAAGAAGGGCCAGGGAACATTTTTTCCCAAAAGGCTGAGTTGCATCAGCTGGAGAGACAGGACAAAACTCAGCAGTGAAAAAGACCATCACATCTAAGCTTGTAAGGGCAGCAATCATCACTCAAGCAAAACTGAAATGTTTCACCTATGGCTTTGTGTACCTTTGCCAATAAGGAGATGTTTGGATTCCTCCCCTAGCACAGTGCACTTGGGCTCAGCTGCGTAAACACAACCCACCTTGCTGACAAGCATGCATAGGGATGTAGGCTGACTGACAGCACGGCCCAACCAGCTCTTTGCCTGCTGCAAGCTAGGCAGTTAGTGGGGCAGCAAACGGAGGTGCTTTTTTCTCCCAAGGATCAGCAAGCTGGGACAGCACTTCCCAATGTAGCTGCATTTCTTGTCAATGCATGGCGGAAGCCCCACTGATTGAGGCTTTCCCCTTCCTCGGGGAGGAGGAAGCCTGTTCCAGCTCTTTTCCTGCACAGCCACGTGCTTCCTTTGCAGGCTGCAATGGGAAAGAGGCCAGCGCTCAGTTGATTTCTTGCCCCTGACAGCTCCCCAGAGGAGAAGGGAGAGCATCCACGCCAGCAGCCATGTGTTTCTTTGTGCCACCCAGGGCTTATCTATAAGGAGAAGAAGCTCACAGCAGCAAGCTTTGTAAAGCAGACAATGCAAAAAACTAGTGCCTTGTATGTCTCTGCACATAAGTGCTGGACACCTCCTAGCTGAGATTCCAGGACCTTCCTCAAAGCTGTTCCATAAGGCAGTGGCCAAACTAAAGTCTTTACCTTCCTAGTGCAGGACATTAAGGCTGCTGTCCTATTAACAGCCCATCCAGCTCTTAAGGAAAGGGGCACATCTCCTCTGCCACAGAAACCAGAGTTTGGGTCCTCCTGATACCCAGTATCCCTCTCATTCCCTTTGTATGCTGGGGCTGTCCTACACTGAGGCTGGCGTGCAGAGACCACCCTGCTACAGAAGTCTCTCGGAGGATTACTCAACCGGCACCGCAGCTTCTGGGCCACCTCTTTTTCTGATACGCTTTCCCTCACAAAACTGCTAGCTAAAACAAGGCACTACTGCAAAAAGTTTTCAACTAAGCTCAGCCTCAAAGGGAGGTCAGTGCCAACACACCTTGGAAAACCTTACTGCCCCGTTTAAAACCTTTAAAAATGCAGCCCAAAAATCACAGAAAAGGCAAAACTTTTCATTCTCTTCTTGCGTACACACCCATATAATATCACCGTTTTCAACAAAGCTATTCCTGACTTAATGAGATAAGCAGAGAACTGATTGACCTGTTTACCACATTGTAGGACCAAAGTCTCTTGAGAAACTGTGTCACTCAAATGCAGTCACATTCTCACTGAGAGTATCAGGCAGAAACAGGAACAGGGCTCTCAAATACAAACAGGAGTTTGAAAAGAGGTTGCCACCTTGTCTTTCTCTTATTTCTGGTTGCTAGTTACCGTATCTTTGTAAGGCTGTACAAAGAGGGATTCAGTTTCCAGATAGGGATTACTTGTCTTCAAGCCACAGCAATCACAAATGCATAGACTGAAAATACGCCGCCTTCCAAATATATTTTGGCACGGCCAAGGAAAAAACAATTCTGTTGGTGTTCAGAAAGGCCTTATACCTCCAGAGATCCCGAGAAGGTGGTCTGAGGGTCTGGAGCAGCTCAGCATATTTCAAGTAGGGCAATCTAAGGGGAAGGCTAGAGTTGCTTTGAATGAGGCTGTGCTATCTGATGGGCTGCTCTCTGCCTCAGGTTAATCTGAGCACAATTCCCACCTCTGACCTACTCCCAGTTTCATGCGTGGGGCATACAGAGAACAGTAAAAGTACATACACCACCCCAAACTCTTGGAGAAACCTTCGATTCCATCTCCTTTTCTACCACCAGAATGGCAAAAGTAAAACTCCAAGCATTTAGCCAACCTATCCATTTGGTTACGACACACTTATATCATAGCATGCCTACACAGCCTGTTAAATAACAATACCAAGATAAAAACCATTCTACTTCTTCCACGGCTTTATATCAGGTAGTGTTTATTTCTGTTGCATGGAGCACTAACCTCTCAATGCTATTTGTACACCCACTCCTCCCTGCTGACCAGCTTCCTCACTCCAATGAATAATGTCTTCAGGAGCTTTAATAAACTCTGGAGGTGAACCAAACCACCAGAACCTATTTACACTCAAGAAGCTCCAGGAATCCCAACTATCAACAATTCATAGAAAACATTTTGTAGAAGAGACAGATGCCAGGACTTCCTATGTCTCCTCTGCTTTCTGATACAGCAGACCAAACATGTGGCTCCCTGAGATCCAGCAGATCAAACATCTGGCTCCCTAAAATACACACTGAAGAATGTACAAGTCTGGGAAATCTTTAACTCTCACTAAAGAGACAGACGATGTAAAAGGCATTTTTGCAGGCAGGCCCATCTCCTATATGAGGGCATACAGTAGGGAGGAGAGAAATATGCTTGAAAACTTCCATATTCTAACAAACCCTACAATCTATAGCAGCAATTACAACTTGGCATCACTCAAAGCAGCCTCAAGGCCGCTCTAAACTGCACTGACGATGGGGAAAAGGAACACAGGGAGCTTCAAATCCCCTCCAGCCAGGACTCAGTATCACACTATTGACCATCAACACGAGATATTTGCACCAATACATTTGCTGCTGTGCTGAAACTGAAAGCTGCTCACAGATATTTTCCCATGAACACTCCTAACAAGCAAAAAGAAAACTGGCAGATAAAAACATAAGCCAGGGAGTAAAAACCAAGCCTTTCTCTTCTAAAAGACCCCACTTTGAGAGAAGGAATCTACAGGCAGGCCTGATTAACACCATAACCAGAAGACAATGCCAGATCTCAATCTGAAATTTTCAGTAGCTGTCACTAACTTATATCGACTGTACCTTTTGCCCTGTAATATGTGTCTAAGATCAGGGAGCCCTCTCTATAAAGAATCCAAGGGAAGAATGTAATTTCTTGGTGGGAACATGCCTTCATTTTTCAGAAGCTATCTCATCATGACACCACAACCTAGCCACAGCACTGTGGTTGCGTGTCGTATGTGCTAGAGTACCTTGGAAAGAAGCAGAGTTTCACAGAGGTCCAATTTCAGAGCCGCAGCTCTTCTCCCGACCCCACCATGTTGCCAGGCATCGTAAAGCATTGTGACAAGGTCCCATACCTGTACGTGACATGCACTGCAGTGCCAGGCTCATCTCTCTCCCAAATCAAAGCCACTCTGTTCGGAGACTTTTCGACGTGTTGATCCAAGCAATTTACTGTAAGAAAACAAAGGTATAAACAAAGCCTGATCATATGCAAGATGCCCTGTAAGCTTAGCTTGGTCAAGCGTAACAGCAAGCTAGCATAAGACGAAACACCATTTGTTAGCTAGCCAGCCTCACGCTCATGTATAACACTGGAAGTGATGGAATTTGTAGCACTGGTAAAGCTGTCCTTTGCCATAGCTGTAGTATGCAAAAACTACAAATACTATACTTACAGCTGTGTTAAGAGATGGCATCCCCAAGAGGCCTCAGCTGATTCAGCTCAGCTTAGCTCCATGGGCTAAGCTTAAACCAGCCCAAATCTCTCCCCTGCTCCCAGCAGCACAAAGACAAGACACTCTTTTGATGTTTTTGCTCCCCAGAGCAGCATTTCGCTACATAAATCTGACAGACTGTCTTTTCCAGCTTGCATTTTTAGCACTACGTCGTCTGAATTTTCTAATTAAAGCTCACATGAAACATTTTTATTACAGAGTATAACAGAAGAGCTGAATCCGCTGAGATGGTTCCCAAAGTACGGCGATGACGGCACTGCTGAGTACAAGCAGCAGATAAGTCTCACAGCTGATAATTTTGTCATACCATAAACCAGCGTTACATAGTACAGCAAAGCGATAACCTTAATCCAACTCCCAGTGATGACAAGCAGCACAAGTGAAAATATCTAAAACTTTAGGATCTAGCGTAAACTCACAGACTACAGATATCTACACATTACCAGACAACTGGGAAAGACAAACATGTCTCAAGCTGTGTACTACACAGTTTTCCTAAAACATAAAGGTATAAAATTACCTTCTGAAGGCACATCTCTCCTCCCAACAACCTGAGGTAGAGAAAACCTGAACAACTATGTGAGATGTCCAAGCGGAACTTAGGGAGAGCACCCACCCTGAAGAAACTTACAGAGAATCCGCTCAAGAAACGTGCCTGCATGTTCAGCAGCAACTTGCCTGATGGTTAGAGATTAACCTTGTAAAGTATTCATTCCAAGCCTAAACTACGCTTACTTATTTCACTATAATCTTCCAAAGTTACTTTATTTCAATAGACAACTATTAAAAAACAGTCAGGCACACTGCTGTATATACCTCAGAGAAAACCCTTTAAAAAATTGCTGAGTTTCAGATACATTTCCTGGAAACATTAATACTGGTGGGGAAGGATTTCATTTTTCCAGATAAATTAAGTGCAACAAAAGCTGCCTATTGCTGTCACAATTTGTGAAATTTAAGTAAAATGCAGCTTGGGAGTCAGCTTTGGCAGTTCTGTGATCACAACTGATTTACACCACCACATGGAGGGTGGGAATGAGCTCCTAAGGGTGCACAGAGAGAGAAATCCCTCAGAATTCAGCATATTTCATTACAAGAACTGTCAATCTCAAAAAAAAAAGACAAAACGCTCTTCCACTGTTTAAGGTCTTTTATTTTTTAATGGAAATTCCTGCAGCAATTCTATAAAAATAAAGGCAGTAAAGCCATTTCTTAAGCCATCCTAATACAATACAGGAGGACAAAAGCTCTAATGGGGAATGCTTTAATCAGTTATACACTGGTTTCCTCTGCCCTCTGTCCATAGGTAACTGGATCTGCTGCGGCTTTGTCCGCGACCCTTAGCAACTCCCACCTCCAAGCTCATTGCAGCAACACCCTCACATATTGCACCACACTACAGTAAATCACATTAACAGGGATTCATTGCTGAAGCAGCATTTCTTGCTCATGAGCAGCTGTATTAGCCTTCAGACGGAATTTCTGTTGCAGCAAGCCCCACCTGAGCCAAGTGAGAGCTTTAGCTCTTTTCTTGGTAAGAACCAGCAGGCAAACCAGGGCCAAAGGCTATTATTGCCTTCCTGATCTTAGGCTTACAAGAGACTTTTTTCCTCATTTTACAAAATAGAATTTAGTGACCTTCCCCTTACTACTGTACCCTAATGGCTTCCCCATACATTTTCTTGCCTCCTCAACAATGATTGGAAACAATTCATTTCAGTAAGACATGTTCCTGAAAACCCAGTGCCCTGGTTGGAGGTGCAGTAATTTGTCAGGTTATTCTTCTGGGCAGGAGTAACAGTGCAATAAACGCTGAAGCACTGAAACTCACAGTTCCCCCAATCCTACCGCAAGGTCTCCCCAAGCAAAAAGCAGCAGATGACTCAGTTGCCTGTGGTCCAGCTGTCTTGGGAGTTGGGCACACAGGATGCTCTGGATCGGGGACCTGAATTATTGTCACGTTTCTGTAACCAGTGTTCAAATCAAGAGATCAAGGGGCAAAACCAGAGCCTCCTAGCAGAAAACCAGCCACTCAGCTGTGGCCAAGTAGCATCTTCATCGTGCTTTGAAAGAAGAAAACCAGCAACAGCAAAACTGTTTAATTCTGTGCATCTATGTTTCAGATGTCTATAATTTCTTTTTACCTATGCAAAGAAAACTAAGCAGCATTTAGTGCCCAGAGCCAAGACATGATCTAAAATCAGGCCCAGCAATATCTGGATTTCAGACACCCGACCCACAGGGGATCCAGAAGAAGGTGCTGATCCCACTCTACAGAGGAAAGAAACAGATCCCTGAAAGTCTCTGTGTTCAGCCAAGATCCTCCTTTCAACAGGAATCGATGAAAACAGAAGTCTGGCTAAAATCCCTCTGATTGCTGGGTGCTGGAAGCAGGGCAGTACGCACACCTCCAACAATTTGGGATCCACTGCTGGGAATCATCTCCTGGGAGGAGATGCTCCCCTATGTTCCCTCTCGGTGAGACCTGAGGAGGGTTTGCTCTTTCACTGCGAAAAAAAGTGGCCAGAGATGTTACAATTCCTGCACTACTGAACCGGCGATTCAAGCACTCTCCCAGGAACGGGAAAGGAAGGTAAGAAATGTACATCCCTGTTAAAAGACTTCAGCACCGAGTTGCACCCTAGATGGGACTGGGGTGTACTCCCACGAGATGAAGCAGAGCCACAGCACAGAAGAGCTTCCAAGGCGGTTATGGCCAGGAAGAAATTCAGAGGTAGTCAGGACTGTCACGGCAAATTTTGGCAAATTTTTCTCTTCCTTCGGGTAAGTGGTGAAGTTGGACAAAAAGACCAAGCTCCTCGTTTAAGAGAGAAAAGAAGCTTTTTAAGAAGAAAAAGAAAACTGCAGCTTCCTCCGTAAAAGACTGTCGGTTCTCATCGTCTCCCACCTTTGGTCTTTCTTGGCGTCGGCGGCGCGGAGCCCACCATGGGACCAAGCAGCACC